ATTGAATTCAAATTAATGGTTCTTGTATTCAATAAATTTGTTTGAATATAAATATTTATTTATATATGTTAAATATATATTTCTTTTTATTGAGTAAATATTTATTTATTATAAGTAAAACTTTGTTGGCACTGTTCAAATAAATATTTATTAAAACTTAGTATTTTTTTTTATATAATATTAACAGATCTATTAAAATTTAATATATTCTCTTAGTAATATTTTAATATCAATACTGTCTTACTACTTAATATTTTTAGCAGTTATCACTCGACTAATTAATTATCCACTTTTTTATTTTCTCAATCCTTTTCTCGAGCACTTTATGCAGAAACACTTGACTTAAATTGCATTACATTAGTTAATTTAATAACACACACCCGCTTGTATCTTATATTTTCCTTTTCCGCCATACATAATATAATACTTATACAATATAATCTTATATAATTGAATACACATAGTTATTATCATGAATGTATGTTTAATCATCAAGGACTCGTGATTACTACTTTTACTTGTTGATTACAATCTACGGAAAAATGCCGGTTTAATTGTTTCATAACTACTATTGTCCGTCGCGAATCGTAATCGCGACGCACCCGGCGACTGCGAAAAAAACACGCGAGGAGAGGAGGAACGGGGGGCGTTTGACGGCAGTTTGATGTATCGCACGCCGGAGAAAGAGAGCCGGCACAGATCCATGGCCGCGCCACGATCCGTTCGCACGAGCGCCGGGCGGCGCGGCAACAGCCGGCACAACGCGCTTCGGCTTTGGCGCTCGACCTCTTTGCGCCTACGTGGGAGGAATAGGAAGTCGTGCATTAAATCCGAACCTCCACCTTTCAGCGCTTAAACGCCTCTCAAATGGCACCAGGCACGGCCGCTGGACACCGGCCGTCGTTCACTTCGAGCGTACAAAAGCGATTGCGCCCATTTCCGCGAGTGGACCGCGGCGTCGATCTCTTCGAAGACGTTCTCGTTCCTCCCGAGATACTCGCTCGATTAAAAAAAAAATGTGATTATCCTTGAATGCGTGTTGTTGATGTGACGTTAAATATCGTATGGCCGACGGTTGATGCATACTCGCCATCAGGTGTCGGAGAGGGCTCGAGACTCGATCAAACTAACTTGATAAAATACTGGCTAATTAATCATTGCGATATTCCTGCGTACTCGTAGTAATAGACATTAACGCTGGTAAAAGAATTCTTGTGATCTTTATGCTATTAACTCATTATGCATTTTTATCTTACGTTTTTTTTTAAATTTTCTTTCTTATTATTCAGAATTTTTTTATTGAAAACGTACATTGATCTGATAATTTCATAATTATAATTACATTTATAATTATTCGAATTTATACAACGCAAAATTAATCGAACGATATTAGAAAATTAAAATTAATCGACGATATAAGAAGTTTAATGATTTTATTACTTTGAGTATTTTTTCCCCTTTTTGTTTCTTACAATTCGTCTTCTTTATATGATTCCGTTAAATTTAATCTAGCACAGAGCCGTCGTCTTTAAATGCAGGCCAGCAGCAACGAAAGTGGACATCAAGTAAGAAACTGACAGTAACAAATACCTAAATTCTTCTCTCGTTCGTGTTAGTGGCTACGCCAGCTTAACAAACATATCCGAGGAACGTCTCGGCGAGCTCTTGGACTTTCTCGCTCGCGCGTATCGAGCGGAAAGATTCCAGTCTCGGCCGCTCACTTGTAATTGCGTTCATTGCCGAATTAACTGCGAACGTCAGACGTTCTCATCTCTTCACGCGAATGAACAAAATTCTATTCCCAGGCTGCCTTCACGTTCGAATGCTGTAGGTGGTATCGGAATTCCGGATGGATTCTCGGGAGGCTGCATTCCTCTTTTATTCGAGGAAGGTGTATGTAGATAATTTAATCTCGCGCGAACATCACGCCTACACACCGTGACATTACACAGTCAAATTGCGTGCAAAAAGATATTCAAATATTTCCACGGGCATAAGTATCGTATTTCTGGAGTTACCTGAGATAAGCTTAAAAATTGCACATTGCTCGCACGTTGACGTATAATTAGCTTAATTAAACAAACGTTAACTACGTTCTTTGTCTCAGTATTTCTTGTCCTCCAAATAAGCTAATTCTAGTCTCAAATTTGAAATATATTCTGAAAGAGCGATTTTTTTGCCAAAGTATCTAAAAATTAACTAAATACACATCCGAAAATAATTTTGTTGGACTATTTTGAAATAGTTACCTAGAAATCTAAATGTGATGAGCGATGCTGCAAAAAGTTTGGCAGTTTTAGCAATCAGTTTGAGCGTTTTGCATATCATTTTGTTGGTCCAGCAAAGTTGTTTTCAGATTTGTAGCTAAAATTTTTGAGACATTTCAGTAAAACCGTCCTTTCCTTCAACTAATTGATATTAACATAAAAATATTTCACTCATAAGTGATTCAAGATAACTGGCACATCATCAATTGAATTGTCGCGTATAAGATTCGGAATAGAATGCAGATTTGCGGAATAAAAATATGGATAGAATCAGTGAGAGATGTATGCGTAACGAAACGTGCTACATAACGTAACGTACCGATCGCACTTTATCCGATGTCTCTACCCGCGCATACCTGATCCAATTGGATACTTGATGATTCGAAGTCTGAGGTGGTGTCATACGCAAGATGATGAAACGCGAAAGGATTTAGCCTTCGTCTTCAAGGCTGACCACTGGTACTCCGCGAACAATCGTCTGTTCTTTAAGTGGATTTCACACGGTTCTGTGTGTCCACGACACCTACGAGAAACAATAGACCTAATGAGATCCTTCGTTTAGTTTTAAATTATCATAATCATCAGTATTTCTCGAGAAAAAAGAAAAAAACATATCGCGAGAGACGCTCAGGAGCGACAGATAAATACTTCGAGCGTGAGAGAAAAACTTAATTTGTATATACGTGTGCGTGTTAACACGCATGTAATTGACCTGATTTTCTACGAATATACATAAGCTTCGTTACGTCAAAAGATTCAATCGCGTTCTTCAGATAGGAATGATAAAGAGAACTGGATCTCACGCGGGTAGGGAGGAGAGAAATGACGGGAGACGTCGAACAAAGATTTCGCGACTGCAATCGTTTCCAATGAAAGAGCAAGGAGAGGACAGAATGTGCACGCTCTCGTTGCATTCTCCCTCAGGGCCGCGTCAATCTAGAACTGTAATTCATAGCAATGCGATTAAAATTGTGTCCAATATAATAACACAATAATGTATAATAACATAATGTTACAATTATAATTGTTGCAAAATATACAGTAGGTTATAATAATTGTTATAAAATAACATCAATTTTATCTTTATATTTCATATATTTATAAATGACTTTAATACGTAGAACGTGCATTAGGGGCTGACAGCTTCATTTTTCAATTTCGAATTTTTACAGACGAAATTAAGAGACTTATCGAAAAAATGAATTCTACACCAGTCACTACATACATTTGTCTGTCTAATAATATTTTAATAATAAGGGGAAACTGATAACTAATATGAAAAAAAAAAAACATTTATCTAATGCGTTTCATCTGATTCAACTAGCCCCGGGACCGGGGTAATTCGACTAAGATTATTAAAATAAAGATTAATGTATTTTAAGCTACATCTTTGGTTACATATTAGTAAAACTTTTATAAAAATGCATTTTACACACAAACATTCGTTTCGTGCAAAAACACGTCGAATGAACCTAGTTTTCGAGATTGGACATGAGAGAACTAAACTTATAACATTTATCACTAAGAAAAATCTCTTTGATAAAATTTTGAGTAAGTACTATAAGAGTCGTCACTAAATGAGTCATACAGTTCCATGCTATGGTTAGTCTACCATCCCTATTCGTTTATTTTTTAAAAACGTTAACAATATACGATAACAAAGACATGTAAACAAAAAAAATCTGTTGGACTTTATTAAGTAAGGACTACACTCACTGTCTAAGTAGAAATAAAATATCTCAGACAATCATATACGATTGTAAAACAAAAACTTAAAGAGAAAATTTAAGAATAAAGATATTTACTTAGGTGTACGATTTTTTTAAATTGTGGCGTAACTTCTATCATAGATGTGTTCGCAATAAGATGTTACAGCAAACTTAGCGACAGTCGTTGCTGCGTGTTTTGTTTTTAATGTAGCCTCGATTATTCTACTTATCCCTATAGTCAACTGACCCCCTCCGGTCTCCCTACTGGAGATTAGATTAATTATTTATATCGAAATTACAAGATTAGAATTTATTAAAAAAATTTTTATCTATAAATTGTATATTACAAATTTACGTGAATACTGCTTTATACGTATTTGCTCTTTTACAACAAAATGAGATCACTCTTTGGTCACGAGCTCTCGTTGACCACGGTGATACACGTGATAGTTTCTGCGTCGCAGGAGCTTTAAGTGCGCGGTTAGAGAATGATTTTCGAGGCACAGATAAAGACGAAGGCGGTGCGCGAGAGATCGTGGAAATAGGAAGAGAACGGTAACCTGGATAGAGTCCAAAACTCACGTCCCACCTCATAAAATGTTGAGGGAAAGGAAAAATAACCGCTGGCATTGGCTTTTGACGTTTGACCAGCAGCCCCCTTGAAATCTTCATACAACGGTCGTTCTATAAGCCTTTCACTGTCACGAACAGCGAAAGAATAGTATACTCATATATACGTTCAAAATTATATTTATGAGAATCATATTTTTTTTAGAACCGGAAAAACCAGAGAGAAGTTAAATATGGTACACCTATATTAAAACCAGAAAACAATTGTTAGTTGCTAATTTTATGTATATTTTAAATATTCAGAAAATTTAATTACTTTAATTTATGTTGGTATATTTAAATTATTCAGAAATAATACAATTTTATTATATTGCCCACTACTTACGAATTGTACAATAGAAAACGTAATTCTTCTTTAATACGCTAATTTGGCGGTTCGGAATTTGTGTTGCAGAGGGGTCTGAGAGAGTCGGTTGTAGCCAGAGGCTGACAACATGAGGAACTCGACATTACTGAAATGGGCGCAGAATTCGGCGAACAATAAAAATCAGCCGAGCAAAAACGGAGGTGAGTAACCTGACTCTCAAGTACACGTGTATCGCGACTAGTATTAGCAAATATGGTTCGCCGCTGTTATGGCGAAGGTTGAAAACCATCCCAACTCTCCTGTTCGCAGGAACGAGTAGAAACTGGATACACCCACCGGACGCGCTCCAAAAAGGACACATCGCCTACCTAGTTAAGGTATTGTACGATTTCTATACTAGAGGATTTCTTCGTATTAGGATAAGACGTGTTGTCTTATAAAGGTATTATTTATGTCCTGAATTTTTTTTTTTTTTTTTTTTTTTTTTTTTGCGAAGAACTGTAACGATCGCTTTTGCAGATTACTATTTGCATTTTGAAATTTGTACCAAAAAATTTGGGAGTAATGATTTTTATAAAGCAATGAAATTCTTGAATCTTTACACGACGGAAAAGTTACTGTATAGTATATGTTGCGTTAATTAGTATATTTTAAGTAAAAAAATATAATGAACTGCATATAATGAATTGCAAGAAATCTTACTTAAGATTTAAAAAATAGATCTCTACTCTCTAAAGATTAATCTTAATAAATAATTTATTAAGGCTGCATTTTAATAGGATATTGTAAATACTCTTGATTATTGATACGGAACTTGCGCGTGCACAAGTTGATGGAGGTCGCGATATCGCGGGATTATAACAACAACGAAGCTACAAGTATCATCCTAGCACCGTTTCTCGGTATCTCGAAACTCGACGGAATGAAAGGTCGAGGTCGTCGCGACGCGTATCGTCGATCCTATTTTTTCCGCTTTTAATTTCATCTCCGGTACACTCATCGAGTTTGTAAATTCACCGAGCAGGATATCCATTATGCTTTCGTGGAATTTGTCGATGTGCGTTCGCCTAGTTACCTTCCGTTGCTAACGAGCGTAATTAAGCTAAGTTGATTATTTCGCTGAGTGGAACGCCGAGGCATCGTGTACGGCCTGGGAAAAGCCGGAGAAATTGCTGGCAACTATTAAGCAATAACAAGCGGAAGGGTAATGAAAATAGAGGCAGTTGATTGAGAACAAAGACATTCTTCATTATTTTACTTTTTATATTTTTTGGAGAAAAAAAATATGTTTCAATTAATTAAATTTTTATGTCCTACAGAGTATGTTAGATAAATTATTATATTCATTTGAAACGAGATTTATTAGAAAGCAGAGATTCATAGAAGTATAAGAATTTCCGATAATTAATTCGTAAAAATTCAATATTTCCTGTAATGAATAAAGAAATCGTAAGTGTGGGAACGAAAGGCTCAGATGTCTCGTAAAAGATATCTCATAAAGATGCTCAGGTTGAATCTAACGACGGGAGGAGTTTAATGTTCGGTTGTTAAAAGGTGGAAATAATCGTGTAAAAACCGAAAGTGACTTGCGATTAACACTTTCTAGCCGATTGTGGAATCTCATTATTTTTTAATGACTCGCACAGAAATAGAAAAAAGATCCTAGTCTCGAAGCGTTTCATTCATTTCGCGTCACCCGGAAAAAGTGTGCAACTTGCAACCGTTTGCCTTTCGTTTCGAATTGTTACCGGCACGTACGTAAGTTTCCTCGTGAATACGAATACCGGCATATCGCGCGGATGAATTGTTCGAGACGCTGAGACCCCAACCGGCGCGTCGCCACGAGTTCGTTGAACTTCGAAACTTCGCGAGCGGCCAGATTTCACTATCTCACGAATGGAACGAGTGTCGTGTCGTCACCACTAAACACGAAACAGCGGAATTGACATGTCCGGACATGCCTTTTTCTCTAACCGGATCAAGTTTCTGCAATCCTGCTCTCCCCGTATTTTTTTTTCGGAAGATACTCTACTGAAGAAAAATTTCTCCACGTGTTAACATATCTAACGTATCTTAATCGTCTGGGGAATTGATTTAATTTCTCATTAGGCTGAGAGAGAAGAAAGCATAAATCTGAGTTTTTTAATTAAAAATAATTTTTTTGAAATTTAGCGATTTTCATGCGAATTTTTTATAATTCCGAAAGAGTTAAAATGTTATACTTTTGTTGCATAAGCAGGAAATAAAATGGAAAATGCAATTAAAATGCGATCAGATTCAATTTTGCGTAAGGGATACAATTCCGTCATTCAAGAAGATACGTAATTTGATCGGGGATATAAAAGTATCCAAAGATCATTAAACTACGCAGTGAAACGTCATCGTCAACACGATAATATCGCGCAATTTGTCAATGTTACGTTTATCGCGTCGTTCGTATAAGATTAAAGTGCACAAATATTTTATCGCGAGAAACGAATGCAGCGTAAATTTCCGTTAGATGTGCGTCTTATTTCCAAACGTCGTTACGAAATGCCTCGTTTCTTTTTGTTCGGTTTGTGAAATGTAGCGATTGCGAGCAGTTCTATTAATTATCGATTATGATTAATTTCCCTGTCGATGTATTATTATTATTATTATGTATATCCAATTTCCTTTCTCGCTTTCTACGAGTTGCAATAAAGGTCATAATCAATATTTTCATTTTTGTCAGCAATTTCCTTTCCTGCAATTCACTGCTATAATCTTTCTTGATAAATAAATTTTTTAAAGATATCCGGAACTCTTAGGCTGTTTTGGTTACGTAAAAGATTTAAATATACATGCAGCGACTTATCTGTAAGTAGTTAGACAACTATTCTTTTGGAAATTACCTTGACGAGAGATGTCGTGCGCTGCTAATTTACAAATGTATGCGCGGAAAATTTGCAAGGATTATAATGCAAAAATATGCAGAGTGCAAAGGAATGCGCTAAGAAAAGACAGTCATTAATAATAAGTACATTTGCGTTTTTAACGTGAATTTTTCTTAGATACGTCACAGTATTTCTCACGCTGCGTCGTTTTTTTTTTCTGTTTTTGTACAACAACTATTGCGTATACTGATTTTTTTTTGTCGTCATCTATGATTTAATATTTTAGTATTTGGGCAGCACAGAAGTGGACCAACCCAAAGGTATCGAGGTCGTTAAGGAGGCGATTTGCAAACTGAAATTCAATCAGCAACTCAAGAAGAGCGAAGGCACGAAAACCCCGAAGGTCGAACTCACCATAAGCATCGATGGCGTGGCGATACAAGAACCGAAAACGAAAACGACACCCAAGGTTAGTGCCATTTGTTGACGTGAGGAATTAACTTTTATGCGACAATTATTTTCCAACAATTATATTCACGCTCGTATCCAAAGCTCAGTTACTTGGACATTGTTTGATCGAAGGTTATTCTTGCAGCGAATTATGCATCAGTATCCGTTACATAGAATTTCATACTGCGCCGACGACAAAGGAGAGAAGAAGTTTTTCAGTTTCATCGCGAAGGAAGAGGATGCGGAGAGGCATACATGCTTCGTTTTCGTCAGCGACAAATTAGCCGAGGAGATCACGCTGACCATCGGTCAAGCCTTCGATCTCGCCTACAGGAGGTTCCTGGAAACATCCGGCAAGGATCTAGAGACGCAACGACGTTGTATGGTACTGCAGCAGAAAATAAAACGACTTGAACACGAGAACAACGTTTATCGGCAACGATTGCAAGATGTGGCGGTTATTAAAGGCTCGGTTAGTTAGAAAAAACTATATGAAACTTATTTTTTATAAGATTCTTGACATAATATGATGTAATGATTTTTTTCGATCTTTCTCAATTATGTTTTTGTTCCCATTTAGGCGGATGTGTCAGCATACCTATCGCAGCATAATATACCCGATATTCTTCACGTACCTGGAGCTCCTACGGATTCATCACAGATCAATGGTACGACTAGCAAGCCATTGTTGAATATGAGTGACAGTAACGGAAATACGTCTAATGGACCTCAGCAACCGCCACCAGTTCCGCCGAGGAGTTTCGAGACGAATTTCGACGATGATTTCATGGGGTATGATCAACAATCAATGTAAATTTCATCAATTTCTGCTTTCTTAATTTCATTTTTATTTTTTATAGAAATGAGCCGACACCAATGCCGTCGGTCGGCACCAAATTAGAAGGGTTGTTGATGGATGAGTTTGAGGAAGATTTCAACCCAAGAGCTTATGAGACCGCAGCTAATGGTCTTGCTAATCACCAGTCAAATAATCCGCTTCTTAACGGTCAGATATCTTCGGGATCAAACTTCTTTTCCCAATCTAACGGCACAACCAGTCCTCCGCCCCTGCGTAAGTATATGTATAATTTATGGAGATTAATTAACTTGATATATGCATTGAGAACATTGTTTTTTTTCCAGTGGCACCACCACCAAAGACGAAAGACTCGAGACGTCAAAACGGAGTCAAGGAAGATCTGTTTGGTAGCATTCCTTTCAATCCTACGCCAACTTTAAATATGAAGAATGAATTTAAGGATCCGTTCGAAATGGGAGAATTCGGAGCTTCGACCATGACATCTAATCCTAGCCAACAAGAACTGGAAAATGCTATCGGTCTACTGGATAAGAAGCTGCTGGAAATGAAGGTAAAACATGCAGCCCTTACTTTTTAATTCGTTCTTTTGTAAATAGGTTAACATGATGAAAAATTTTCAGGATGGTTTTAGTAGAGGGCTGTGCATTGGAACTGATGACTTTTCTTTGGAGAGTTTGGACCCACTGCGAAATTAGGCTCGTTAATCAGATTAGAAGCTACGAGCATTTGAACGAAAATTTTTATTAGTGCTCTAGGATGCAGAGTACGATATACCAATTAACGGATAAAGCAATTAGGGATTATGTCCGTGTGTAAAACCAAAATTAGTCAATTATTACTATTATCCTATTCGTATATTTATGATCATGTTCGATATTTATGGTACACATATATGAAATAATTCTATAAGCGTGTATCTTACACTCTCTGGTAATCTATGCTATTCTATCCGTTGCTTTAGAATTTGGGTCCAATCCGAACAGCGCACCGAAAATGCGTATTGTTAATGATGAGTCAATGAGACGAGATCTCAAGTCGACCGTTAGAGTGGAATGAGATATTATTCTAATCAAGACAACATTAATTATTTAGACGAGAATTTGTTATATACATAAATACTTAAAAAAATCTTATCGCGAATCTCATATCGACGATGATATGCTTGCGTCTTTCATATTTTTTAACGAGATTGAAAAAGAACTAATGAATTAATATTATAATCCTTAGCCACGGAAAATGCTGACGGCCGAGTCAAATTTCTTATATTCTAAAGCTATAACTAAAAAGGGAATACAACCAAATGTTCCCTTTTGATTTGAATAAGCTTTAAATATGTAAAATATACATAAAAAATAAGAGGCATATTTTTTTATAAAGCGTTGAGCCGCATGATAAAAGAGTGAAGCCCTTGAAAGAAACTGATTGATTTATAAAAAAGTACGAGTCTATTTTATATATATATATATAT